GCGCCATGCCGACGCACGTAGGGGGCGGCCATTTTAGATTTGCCGATGGCAATAGATTGACCGTATTTTTTTGTTCGTACTCGATTCTAACGCGCATGCGATTTATGAACTCGCTTAACCGGAAAAAAGGTGCGCGTTAGATTCGAGTAATTACGGTATATCCAAGCAGTAGCACACCTCCCTCTTCATTTTGGAAGCAGCAGTGCATGAAGCAGTAGCAAAGTATAATGCAGGCACCTTGCGAGCTTACACTGAGACTTGCACTGCACTAGGTAAAAAACCTGGAGCAGTTGCCCTCCAGAGGGCTGCAGAAAAGGACAGCCAGCGTGCTGAAAAATCATTAAACATGCACTAGATGAGGAATCAGAGGGACAAAAGGCCACCTGCCAGCATGGACACCAAACACTACTGTTCTGGTGCATTTGAATGAAGGTGAAGTGTTATAAAAACTTCGAAAGCCATTTTCTTTGAAGTGCGTTTTGGGCACTTAGTGTTGCTTGTGAAAAGCATAGCGTGGCAGTGACTAGACTGATTTTGATGCTGTTTTTTTTTATTCCTTTAAGCCTCGTTGACAGAACGGTATTATTCATTACATTGCTTACAATCTAGTTTTTTTTTTGTATATGATAATCAGTGCATGAGAAGTTCTGATGCAATACATGAAGCTGATAAGGACGTTATTTGTAAAAAAACTAAAAGGAATAGACAATTTTCGATGATTCCAACCTGTGTAGTGTTTTTTTTTATAGTAAAGATCAAAACCACTTGGTCCTTCCTGGCATGTTTTGTTTTAATGCGAGGCTTTCCACCAGCAGACAAAGTCATCAGATTATGTAACATAGTGTAACTAGAAAACTACATGAGATATTGCAATGAAACTTCATATATAGCTATTCGAGACATTCTTTGGTACGTCTGCCAAATTTCATTAGTCTAGGTCAACAAACAAAACAGCTTTTTCGATCGCCACCTCCCCACTTAAGATGAATTTTTTTCCGTAGCATCATCTGATGTCATGTTAACGAAGTACCGTTGAGAGACTTCTACAACAACAGAAGAGTGGTGCTGCCAATGCAAAAGCTTTTATTGTGATAGCAAATATATGGACACTTTCGGCTGGATTTCACCGCCGGCGTTGGCGTTGACGTCATTCATCGTATACGCATTGTATCTATATACCGTATTTACTCGCATAATAGGCGCACTTTTTTTTCAGAAAATCCGGCTCGAAGTTAGGGGTGCGCCAATCACGCGGGGTAAAATTTTCGAAACTTTTTTCAACTCGGTTCTCGCGCTTTAAATCTGCACACTTGTCAAGTAAAAGGCGATTTTATCGTTTACCAATTAATTCAGCATAAAACAAACATACCTACGTACCTTTTAATGAACAAGCGAGAGCCGTCAACTGCACACACACACGTAAAATTTATTTACACAAAAGTCGTAGCTGTTCCTCCTTTTCCCTATTTGGAGTCCGAGTCGGAGATCACACATTCATCCTCGACGAGCGGGGATTCATTTTCGGTGTCCGAATCATCCGCACCCCACAACATGTCATCCTCACTCGCATCCAGTGCGTTCGAGATACCCGTCTTCTTGCAGCGTTTCCTGACGACTTCGTCGGAGATCGCCTGCCACGCTTCCACGATCCAAGCGCACAGCATTTCCACAGGCGGCCTCTTAATCTTACCACCTGGAGTCAGCTGATGTTGTCCTCCAGCCATCCAGGTGGTGTATAGCCTTCGAACATTGTCCTTGAAAGGTTTATTCAAGGACACGTCCAAAGGCTGCAGTATCGATGTGAGGCCGCCCGGAATCACTGCCAGATCTGTGCGCAGCTCCTTTAGCTCATCTCGTACGCGGTCTACTAGGTGCCCACGAAAACTGTCCAGGACAAGCATGGACGGCAACAACAGCCCAACTGGCCGCCGACCCCAGACTGTTTTCACCCAATCCACCATGAGTTCCACGCTCATCCAGCCTTTTTCCTGGACTCTGACGTAGATGCCTTGAGGGAATTTTGCCTTTGGGAGCGTCTTACGTTTAAAAATAACGTAAGGCGGTAGCTTATGCCCATCCGCTGTCACCGCCAGCATTACGGTGCATCGTTGTTTATCAGCGCCAGACGTTCTGACGATGACGCTCCGTGCACCTTTCTCCTCCACTGTCGTGTTCCACGGCATATCAAAGCAAAGGGGGGTCTGATCGGCGTTGCCGATCTGGGACAAAATGAAGTCTTTCTGCTGTCGGAGCTTTATAACAAAACTGTGGAAGTCCACCACTTTGTCCTCATATGCTGCGGGCAAGCGCTGGCACAAGGTGGTCCGCCTTCGCAGTGCGAGGCCATGGCGCCGCATGAAACAAGTTGTTCATCCGGAGCTGTCTTTGAACTCTTTTGCTTCGATGCCCTGCGCTCGGGCTATTCTGCGCGCCTCAGTCTGCACAATATCCAACGACATAGCACAGCCGTCTTGTTGTCGTAGCTCCCGTATATGCCGGACCAGTTGCTCTTCGACGTTCGGATACCTGCCGGTCTTGGCACCGCGGAAAGCCCGTCGTGTCTTCTTTGTCGCCTTAAGTTTTTTTTCTTGGTCCCTCCAGTACCGAATACTGGTTTTTCCAACGCTGAAATGCCTGCTTGCAGCCTGGTTGCCTGCTCCAGCGCGTAGTGCACTGCCTTCAGTTTAAACCCAGCCGTGTAGCTCGCGTACTTCCCCATGGTGGAACCAAAGTTCAATACACGACCACAACATACGCACACCGCTTGCAAAATGGCGTTTCTTTCTTTTTCTCTGATGGTGGTGATGGCGATCGAGCCCCCGGCGTTGTACACGTGACCTCCAAAAAGCGCGGCGATTTGGGGGGTATCAGTAATTGATGGAACAGCCGTTTTTTTTTTTTTTTTCGCTCATGGACGCTTTTTTTTTTTTTCAAGTTTTATTTCGACAAACACGTTGGTTAGGTTGCACTTCGAATTTTTTTTGTTTGCTCGTCAATTTGCCTTCTTTTTTTCTTCAGGGTTTGGGGACCACGTTCCAACTGTACCGCTGGGGGGTAGAATCGTTTCTGATCACGGCCAAGTTCGGGGTGCGCCTATTATGCGCGGAATTAAAAAAAATCGAATTTTCCGCGACCAAACTAGGGGTGCGCCTATTATGCGAGGGCGCCGATTATGCGAGTAAATACGGTATATGAAAACGCCAAGAAAGAAAAATTTAGAAAAAGACTCCGGTGCGCGAAATCAAACCTCCGACCTCTGAATTGTGAGTGCGAGGCATTAGCCACTGAGCCACAAAAGAGCACATCCTTCAACGTACAAACAGCAAGCTATTTATTTCTACTACTTCCTGCTGGTGATGGGCATCTCGGGGGAAACTAGTATCCTGTTTTCAGCATGACCAGCGAGATGGCGGAATGAGCCCATGTTGCCAGATTGTCACGACGAGGTGTTGTGCGCTCTCACCTCCCCTGCGTACTTTGCTCTGCGGCACATGCTCTTATCTCCCTTGCGTACTTTTACTTTGCTCTGCAGAGAAGGGACGCTCTCGCATGCGCTTGCTTATCCTGCAGTGGGGACCATTGTACACCTAGGGCTATCACCGGAAAGATTCTGTTGTTACCTGGTGCCCAATGGTCCCTGCACTCGTAGCACAGTCTCTGTTTACAAAAAAGGCCTGCTTTTCAGACACAGTGTAAGAACTGAGATGCTTATTCCTGTTCATCTGTACCTGTGAGTACGTTTCGTGTGTCATTTGTGCGTGAGAAATGCGGGGCATGTTCCGATCTGCTTGCCATTCTTCGTGTGACCTTCCAATTTGTCGCTATGGCGTTCATTGCTTTGCCTGTGCGACAAAACTGTGACTTTTTTCTCTTTTCCGGAAAAAAAAAAAAGAAAAACAGCACAATTAGCATTGTTAGAGTGTACTAGATCTGTGGCACCCATGAGTGGCTGGGAGAAGGGCACGCTAGCGCATGCACAAGAAGAACGCTGGCTTGAGGGGCTATCGACTTGATGCACATGTGCTAACAAGCGTTTGCTCTCGGTTCGCAGTGGTCGGAGCTTCGAGTGTGTTAAGTGCACCGCTGCCACTTGGTGCTCCATCATTGACGGGGCAACCAAAAAGGTTGCACATGACTCCTGCTCGAGCCAAATGGACCTAATCTGGGGCGAAATCTTTCAGTTGTTAGCGGAAAAATTTGCTATATCTAGAGAGCATCCCACTGCCACTTTGTTATATAAAGGTCGCAAATATATGTGCTTTGATGAGATAATGGCAGGGAAAAAATTGCAGCATATCTACGGTGTGAATGATAATGAGAGCGAAGCGATAGAGGTACATAGGTAAACTGTGAGCCCCACTTTCAGCCGTTCCAGAGTTTTGAGGAGCCTGTCTCAGTGTACTGCCAAGGCAGAAGTCATGCGAGAGGTGTGCTGTTCGCCAGCTGTTGAATCATGGCGAAGTGTTCCTTGTAGCGTCCTTGCCAGTATTGCACTGTGTTCGGTACGCCACGCATGAACTTCAGGTCTCAGTTGAGCGCTTCATCTATGAACTCGTGCCTGTTGCTCTCGAGTTGCTGCAGCGTGATTGAGCTGGTGATGACAGCGAGCACTGCAGCGCAATCTAGTGAGCACTCCGAGTACTAGAGCCAGCCACTCTCGAGCCATCTAGTGAGCACTCTGGGTACGAGTGCCCGCCGCTCTCGAGTTGCTGCCGCGTGAACGATTTGGTGATGGGAGTAAGCGCCGCAGCGCCATTTGGTCAGCACTCCGAGTACGGGGTGACTACTACGACGAGGGACTAGCCAACACTCTACGAAGCTTTGCCCCTAACAGAAAAACATGGCAATATCCAGGAATTAGTTTAAGGGACCTTCGTCATAGGCATTCACTTGGCACTCCCTGATGAGCAAGCGCATACGATCAAGCTGGTATTCAAATAAAGTGATAAATACCCGTGTTACTTGTATAAGTGGAGTATATATGGCCGATTCATGCTCACCATTTTGCGTCTGCGATTACTGTGACCAGAGTCGGGCAGCTCCCCATCTACGTCGTCACCCGCCGCACTGACCCCATGACCAGCGGAGTCGGGGGATGCCAGTGGTGGGCTTCCTTCCTGCACATTGCATTTCCAGGCCTCTTTTGAGTCCTCCCCACAGAGGCCTTCCTGTATGTCCACAAAAAATTATGTTTTCAAACCTCTTCCTCCACACACCTCAGCTCTCATTAAAACAGGCAGACAGTGATTGCTACGCAATGAAAACACGACTCACAATATAGTATTGCATGCACTTTCATAAGACGCCATGACACCACATTTCGGCTCATAAACTTTGTTATGTGGGTTAATCCTTGGGAGTTGACAAATTGGAGAAATTACAGCCCATTTGGTCGAGAACTTGATCATTTATAACAAGCATCTTTATAAACATGTGAGCTGCCCAACAGTTTGACAACAGTAGTGCACTTATGAGCCGTGGCATGACAAAGCACTTGTTTTGCAAGTCCCTGTGTTCTGTCTAATGATGTTGGTTTCTGGCCAGCTGCACGTGCAATGGAGCTCACGATGAGAAAAATAGTGTTCAATGAACAAGGACACAAAAGGAAGACACACAACACAGGCACTAACTTCCAACATAACGCCTGTTGCCACACTCGACTACTTACCTTAAAATGCCGAGCAAACCTCCCTCCTCCCCCTTACAATTAAGAATTATCTGACTAGCTTTGGAGGGGGCGCTCACTCGATCCTTACCAAAATTAAATATGGTAGCAGGAGAGCCGCTAAAAATTAAAAAATGCCCGTCCATGTTTCTACTTAAATGCCCTATTATTCACATGACCAACGGAATTTCATAAACAATTGATACGCATTTAGGATACTTGTTCTCTTTACACAAGCAATCCTTGTTTAAAACAAAGGTTTGACTGATTGATTGACATATGAGGTCTATGAGGAGATGCGGGTCAAAAAATGCGAGTTTTCTTCAAAATAGCCAATTTGCCTGTTTTGATAAGATTAATACTTCTACTGTTCTGAAAAAAAAAAAAAATACATGTCAAGACTTTACTGCAAATGCTTTAAAATTGCGTCTAAAGAGCACAATGTACTTGTTAAAAGGCCTGAATTGAGCAGTCTTCGAGCACCTTGCCACCAATAATGGCCGCTGCTCGCCATTGTCGATCGCATCAGGCAAAGAGTTGAGCCTCACTTTTCAAATAAAGACAGTTTCCTTCGCTGATGCGGAACAAGAAATAAGAAAAAAAAAGCACCCTTTTGTACGTTTTTCGAGCGACACGACTGGCTTATAACGTGGCACGGAACGGAGACCGCCATTGGACCGCTGCGCAGCTGTATCTGCTGTGAAGCCTACTTGTCGGGTTGATGCCTTAACGAGCAGCGCAGCTCAACAATGCTTTTCTCATGTATCTCCATTATGAATGAAAAAAGCCATTGCTTGCGCGTGAAAGCCGTTGTGGAGGTGCGCTCTGTAGTAGTATGCTACGAGCAGCTGGTTCGATTTGCGGAAGTTGTTGGCTTGCAAAAGTCAATGCATCAAAAGTCATTCACAGCCATCAGCTGGAAAATTCATGACGCGGCAAAGGATGACGTCAGCGCCAATTTTGCGAGGTCGAAGGAACTTAGCGGGGACGACATTGCCATTATGTACAATGATATATGGCACAAACGTGGCCGCAAAATGGCATCAGCACTGTTGTGTCCCACGACACTAGGCTTAGTTTAGATTTCGCAGTCCTGTCTAACTTCTTCCTAGCTTGCAGTCGGCACAAGGCTCAGCCAGATGGAGCGGTAAGAAGTTCGGCAAGCATTTCATGACCCTCTCTGTGAGCGAAATGTCTGTTAGGAGTCTGCTCAAAAAAGCCAAAAGGGACAAACTCATGGTGCTGGCGCATTTTAGTGGCAGTGGCCACTACAAGAAAGATTGTTCTTTTTGGTGTGTAAATTTCATCACTATTAATGACATCTTTCATAATTAAAACTCAATTTTAACTTTAAACTTGTTTTTGTCCAAACACAAATTTTGCCATTTCTTTCAATGTGTCCCTCCTTTTTTCGGGCATTTAAAGTGCTCGGATTTGCATGAAATTTTGCCCAAATTTTTTCCAATGTATTAAAAATACAGTTAGCTAGTTTAAATATCCATATTTTATTATATAATGAAAAATTGTGCGTAAACCTTTACTAGGATAGGTGAAATATGGACTTTTTTTATGCCTATTATTTTTCATGCCTATTACATATTTTGTATGTGCTTCTTGATTAGTTATTTGCCTTCTACACTTGCTTTGAAACAATATGAACTATCAATGGTAGAAAATTACGGAAGTTTAGGTATGAAAAGGGGGGGCAAAGGGGTTAAGGTATCCACTTTGTCATCTTGCAGAGCTAAAAGTATGAAACTTGCAAGAAAACTACTTATATATTTTAAATAAGCACACTAAGTTGCATAAAGAGGTCAAGTTTCATTGCTCTAGGGTGAATATTAAAAAAAAGTCTTTATTATTGTCCTAAAACCACCATATGATTATGATAGATGCCGTAGTGGAGGGCTCCAGAAATTTTGACCAGCTGGGGTTCTTTAACATATACCCAAATCTGAGCACACCGGCCTACAGTAATTTCGCCTCCATTGAAACTGCAGCCATCGCAGCTAGGATTCCATCTCCCGACCTGCGGGTCACTTGCCGACTACCATAGCCACTAGACTACTGCCACGGGGCTTTAAAACTAAAGTGGCCGCGTGGAAGGAGAGGAAGGGCTGGGGTGCTTTTTCGAGTGCGGGCACTCACTCGGCATTTTATAGAAAATCTCTCAAAAAGCACCATGTGACTTATGATGCCCACAAAAACTAATTTCTAAGGAACAACAGTTCTTTTTCACTTAGGAAAAGGGAGTGCTGACACACATGCAACCCTGGGATGAGATAGCCCCAGCTTCAACCATCTGTCTTGAAAGCTCATTGTGTATCTTCTTGATTGCAGTACATGCGTTGAAGAGTGGTTTACAGCCACAGGTCTTACAATGAATGGCTAGTCATCTATCCTCCCCATTTATTACGTTAATACTACGATACCTTAATCCATGATTTAGGCAATGGCTGTCAGATACTGTGCCACAAGAATGCACAATGTGATGCACAATGTCTCGTGTACAGGAAACAAATGCAGTTTGATGCTTATCATAACCTTTGGGTTTGTCATTGCGATAATGAAGCCGACAAAGGTTAACTAAATTTTAGGGGCGAAACTCCTTATGGCCTGGGTCTGTCTATCCCTTGTATGTATGTAGTAGTAGGGAGCCACCAATGGCACATACCCGCTCTAGAGTGGGTATGTGCCACAGGGGATGCGAGAAGGGATATGTTGGACTTGGAGTGTTCACTAGTCCGACGCATGGACAGACGGACAGACAGACTAGCAGACGAATGGACGGATGGATAGACGCGTGGACGTACGGATAGACAGACAGACAGGCAGACAGATGGATAGACGGACTCACGGACAGACGCATGGACAGATGGACGGAAGCATGGATGGACGCACGGATAGTCGTGCAGACGGACGGAAGCACGGACGGCTGACGGACGCTTCACCCCACTCATCATCATTCACTCCATGGATATGCTGTGAATTCTTGAGAGTCAAAAAAGACTGCCTTAACTTTGGAATGCTTAGGTTATCTTTCTTGTAGATTGTGCGAGATCTTACGATTATAGGGTATAACTAGGCGCTTTGGTTTCTAGACACAGCACAGCAATACATCTTCTGAGCTTATGAAGCTAGGATTCCACAACAGATGTCTGTCCAACTGATTATGAAAGCTTTTCATGCTCACATAACTTGCTTAAATCATGATGAAAAGAATGGTTGATCACGTCTCTTTTGACTATTTTAAAATCGTATGGTAGGGCAGGCCTGTTCATAAGTGGTTGGTATGCTCAACAAATGCGGTTTGGATGAAAGGTGAACAAGATGTGAAGGAACTTGATGACATTACTTTTAGGTAGTTTATGAGTAAGTGTCAAGGTCTTAAAACACCCAGGAAATTTCAAAATAACTTGGGGCACACATGATGGCTCATCATTAGTTAACAAAACAAGGTAGTCATTGACATAATAAGACACACTGCTGACTTTCTTTCGAGCTATCAAGATGTCGGTTAACTGGTCTGTCAATACCCAGGGGTGCAACAGCCAAAATAAAATTTGGAGAACATTTTGGAGATGAAAAACGTTGCTTTTGGAGCACTAAAATCCAAATTTGGAGCAGGTTACAGAGAACAAAAGGCCAAATTTTGAGCAGCATGAAAAAAAAGCTCACTATAGAAAAAATGTACAAACCATTCAACCTCCCCTAAATCATGCAGAGTGAATATGAGCACTGCTATTTCAATAAAAGCAGTATTTTGAACCACCCATTGAGCAAACAATGATCAAGTCCACATTAGCATTTGCCACACCTGTGAAATACTGTGATGGACTTTGAAGAGTAAAATGTGATCGAGCTGGCGATTTTGAGATTCAGGAGATTCATAAAACTGAGAAATAGGGGTGAGAAAAAAAAAAAATGGCGCACAGTTTTGTTTCATTTTTGTGGAAGCGGAAATGTCATGCCCTGCTCCAAATGATTGCAAGTAACTTTCTTAGACGTCAGCGATTATATTAGTACTCGCAATTATGTGGCGTATAATGCATGAGTATCCTATTTACTCATGTAATAAACACACTTTCTTTTCTCGAAAAATCAGAGCGAAGCTAGGGGTGCCTTTATTATGCAGGGGCAAAGATTATGAAAACTTTTTTGGAATGAGCAAAAATGCGGTAATGCAAAAAAAAACAACAACAAAGTTAGGTCACTTAGCTTTCTGCAATTGACATACGTGTATAGTGTTTGGGAACGGCTTCTTTGTTGCACTTTACTCATCTTGGGTGGTTGATGACAGCTATCATCTGCAAGCTGTCCCCGCGCCACTCGCGCATGCCATCAAAGTGTTTCAGTGTTTCACAGCTATCTTTTCTAGCAATCGATTAAACGCAACAGTGGTATCTGCGATGATCTCGGAAGCGTGCACTATGATGCATTTTGACAATGTCCCAGCAACATCGCACTACGACCGCAACCCCGTCGTTGACATTGTAGCAAGTA